CTCCCACCATGTCTTACTAAGCATTTCTCAGTTTCTTCATTGGGTTCTGCTTCTTTCTCTCCTGTTGTTCTTCCCCAGTCAGTTTCCGACTGTTTTGTCTGCATGATTTCTTCAGCAATCACCTTCATTCCCATGAACTGAACTACTGCCCAATATTTCCAAAATAAGTTCATCATCTTCCTCCTTAAACCTGCTCTTCCACCTCATTTTTTAACAGCTCACTTAACCGCATCCCTACACACCCAAATGCCTAAGTTAAAAACACCAGATTCTTCCTGAGGGCCTTTCTTTCCTTCTCCAATAATTGCTCTCAAAACTCCAAAATATAATCCCCACCCCAACTCTCCACTACACACATATGCATTTAACTACAGTGTATAGAGTTCACCATCCATAAATCCATCTTGAATCATCCCATCCTTCCCCCAGTTACCATCTGAGTTCCAGCATGAGCTCCCCTAATGTCCTGCAGTCACCCCCTAATTTACTTTTCTCCCTCTATCCCTTTCTGCCCACCTTCTTCACAGATGCCAAAAATCCAATTACAAAACATACTGATTCTTATGGCACATTCCATCTTAAAACTGCAGGTAGCACTTTACATTCTACTTGGTAGATTTCAAACTCTACATTTCAAAAATAGATGCAGTTCTGTTAAGTTTCAATAAATATATGCCATATTACCACAAAATGGCCTCAAGAATGATTGCTATAGACCAAACAACATTTCAGTCTATACTGGCTCTAAAAAATAGTGAAGTTAAAATAAGTCAAAATTCAACATCTTAACAATATATAAAGCAGTCCTCAAATTTGAGCATATCATATTTCAAAAGAGATAGAGAGAGAATTTGTAGGTATTGTCTAAGCGTTTCACCAGCCTCGGGAAAGTCATGTAGCTTTCAAATCTCAAGTATTTCACCTGTATAGGGATAACACCATCTACCTTGAGAGGATTAAATGGAACATTTAAGAGGTGCCAAGGCACATGGCTGATGTTCAGTAATTATTTTCCTTTTTCCCATGGAAACAATATTAAACATAATATACATGCTGGTTAAGCAGTTTCCAGATCAACTAAAGAAAATACTATTTGACTCTCACACACTTAGCTCCAAAGCCAAGTCGACTCAGTCAGCATTCAATGGTCATTTACTGTGCTGAGAGAAAGATGCTAACAGAGAAAAACAGCTTGCCTCCCACCCTCTCAGAGTGGGTCTAATGAAAGTGACTCTCTAGGTGTAGGGCCTCAAGTCAGGAGATGGGAGGCTCTGGAGTCAGAAAAGGACATGGAAAAAGCTTTCTTCCCTCCACATGTATCAATCCTACCTTTGGGCACTGCTTTAAATAGCATAGGGTAGAGTTTCTGGAAGGGGGAATTTGTAAGCAAAATGCTCTGGAAGGACAGAAAAGAAAAATAGAAACCTGTAAGCATGACCGATTTGGGGAATATCATGAACACCACATCAGCAGGGCCGCCGGGAGCCACAATTCTCCTGTTCCTTGGGTCCCCTCCCCAGAACTGCCTTGGTAGCCTAGATTAATTAACAAGGGAAGGGATTTTGCTCAGTGGTTCTGCCGCCTGCCTTGCAAGTGCAAGGACCCGAGTTTGATCCCTGGTACAAAAAAGAAAGAA